ACACGGAGGATATTGCACCATGTTTCAATTGACTCAGCTAGGGTTTATGTGCTTCGAGGAAACTGAGAAATCAAAGATCTTATTAAATTTCCAAAATTTGCCAAACTTTCAGCTCAAATTTGCTTGAGTTTTGTAGGAGAACCTTGCACACTTTTCTGTAAATGAATGGAAATTGTTTCTATGTGGGTGCGTAGATTCTAAGGTATCATAGCAATGATATGAGATCTTCTCTTTCTCCATAATCCAGACCTTGAGCTCATTAGCTATTCTTTTTGTGACTTGCTAGATATTTTGGCATGAAAAAAATCATGATGATTGGCATCAGATTGGTATTTTACTTCTGAGCCACACCTTGATTTCCTTGATGTTTTTGGACACATACCCTACCGATCCTCATCTACGGTATTCTCTTTCTCACTGAGAAGGTTTTGATCACGACTGCCAGGCTTATCTCACTTTTGACATGTAAAACAATTTGGGCAGCAGGTCAAGATCAAAATGATCGAAATTTTTAAACTCAATCTACAACAAACTGCTTTGAGTTTTTGATCATCTGCAATCCTTTTGCCTGAAGTAAAAGACGTCAAAATATCAAAAAAAACGTTCTAGAAAAGTATCTTGGGCTACATTCATTCCAAATTGAACCTGGGACCATAACTTGTCACATGCATGATAATTCATCGAGAATTTGACCGATTCGTAGTCACTCCTCTGTATTGATAAACTGTTGGTAACAATTGAGGTTACTTCACAATCACAATCATCATCTTTCTGGAATCTTCAGTAGTTGATCAATCTGAAAAGAAGATTGTTTGAAATGTCTGGTAGATATGGCATTCATATCATCAGTATTAATCCTTGAGTAAACACAAATCTTTCCTGAATGAATACATACTGATCACATCGATGCAGGAAAGCTTTAAAAGAAAGAATCAAACCCTCACTTTTCTTCTCAGGACCTGCCTTAGTAGAATCTGTACCTCAATTGGAGTCAGATTCTATGTGAGTCTCTTCAAGCTTATCAGAGATCTCTTCTGGACTCAATGAGGATGTTTTAGACTTGGGTATAGCATCAGCCTTGGCTTCATGTATAGATTCTGTGGTTTGTTTTGAAATTTTGAATTTGTTGGTAAAGACAAGTAAATTCATCTCATCAGTGGTAATCCTTAGAATCATCATCTCTCAATTAAAAAGAAACCGATCAAATCAAAACAAGAAAGAAGCTTAGATTTAAAAGACCAAACATCACCTTGCTTTCCCATGATCTCCTTGGAAGAGATTGGATCTCGAGTCAAACTAGATTTTACTTGAATCTCTTCAATCTTGCTGCTAGAACCCTTTTGAGGTTTGGGTTTTGGGTGACTACAACAGCCTGCTTTGCATCCACCAATGCGAGTAGGAACTCCCCCACCGGTGATGCCGCTCACCGCTTTTCCCTTCTCAGTCGATGTAGCCAGGAGACCACCATCTGAAGTGATCAGAACCTTTTCTGATTTAACAACGTCTTCAATGGGAGCACATACAACAATCTGAGCTGTAACTAAAACAAGCAAGATGAATGTGGTTGGGATCAACATCTTTTGTCTTGAAAAAAGGTCTAAAGATTCAAATGAAAATCAACTTTATTTGGCTGTGGGGGGGAAATAAGGTAGATAGTAAAGAACTTGATCAAATTCACTGAATGGACTGATTAGCTTTCAATTGTAAAGGATCACTTCAGTATATGTAGGCCTTTGAGAACTGGTGAGGTTTTATCCTGTTCTACCAACTCATATTGTGATTCAATGTCGGCATCTTACTGGATCGATCGTACATTTTCGGAACTTGGGTCGTAAGTTGAAATGTGGGGCTGAGGATGAATGATGATGTAAACCTTCAGTGTCCATCTATAGACCCAGATCGCACCACTTTGTGAGTAAATCTTCGGAGGGTACTCAATCAAGTCAAACTCATATTTCGGTAAATTACTAACCCAACGTGTCCCAGATGAACTCAATTTTCGAGCTGCTCCTAACTTCAAAATCATATTTGAATCTGATTTAAAAAAAACTTGTTGAAGTCATCCTTATCGAGCGCAGTGAGGTTTCAACCGACATGTTATAGCTGAGAATTGCCTGATATATATTAGTCTTGAGTGTATAGTTACGTCTTCGTGATCCGATCAAATCCGAAGACCAGAAGTATGTTCACTGGAATCTTGAATAGAATCGGATTGTAAACGTAACACCAAAGGCTCCTGAAGGGTACCCAGTTTGAACTTCTGATATTTCTTAGTCATGAGATCTGTCCCAAGAGTCAGTATGGCGGCAGAGGCGCTCAAACTGACCAATCCTTGTGAAGGATGGTTAGGGAACCAAATAAAATTGATTGAGTTGGTGTGAAGACCAAAAAAAAAATCGAACGCTGAAAGGTTCATAGAGATGGCTTTGGTCAGTAAAGAGAATCACAATTCTCAACGCTCAGCTCAGGACTGACGAATCCCTCCCAGTGTAGTCAAATTAGACATTCGGATGATCTGGATGTATGTACTTCAACACTGAGTTTTCAAGTTCAAGACGCTTCTTATTTCAAGAAGGTGGCCTCCAGTTAATAACCTCATCGCCAGGCATGTTAACTTCACAATCCGATAACTTGAAGTCTCTGGTTCTTTGTCATCGTTCGAGGTGAATCTACTATGTATGTACTTGAGCCAGCTTGGAAACTGGCTGAGCTAGGGTCTGTTTGCATCAAGGAAAATGAGGAAGCCTAGGAAATGATTTCTAGGTGCGTAGAGGTCTCATACCCATCACATGAGCTCTTCTCTTTTCTTTCGTAAGCTTAAGTTTGATGTTTTCTCTTTGATTGAATTCTTTTGATAGTCTGAGAAGGAAAGATTCCTCCTCATGAGTGAAACTATCAATTCAACATTGATCAGATCTACTTGATCCATTCCTCATTTTAAAGTTTCTCTGAATCTGATTTATGAACCAAATGTTTTGATCAAGACCAGGATTAATTGATCTCCAAAAGGGAACAGATAAGCATCATACAGATTCAACATCCCTTTAGAAATGGATCAATTCCCTCTCTCTGTATCCATTCTTCTTAGTTCAGATCTTTCACTCTTAACCTCTTGAACTTCATCATCATCATCATCTTCTTCTTCTTCAGAACATTTAGAGGAGCAAAGTAAACAAATCTACTAAGAATACATTGCATACTTGAGAAATTTGATGATGGATCAAAAAGAAATTTAATTTTATCGAGCGATCGGATCAAGTTCACCTAAAAAGATTTGTCTATCAACTCCTCCACTTGCAATGATAGGTTCTTTTGGATGAAAATCACAAGAGGTGACAGTTCCTTTATGACCCGGTAATTTATAGAGAATGTTACCGGTGTTCACATGCCAAATGGTAAGTGATCGATCAGCTGATCCTACGGCTACTCTATCTCCACTTGGATCCCATGAAGGTGTTCGTAATTGCTGATGAATCAGGATGAGATCGTCATCGAAAAGAGAAGAGGGTAAGGTATTGATTCCCAAATCGTCAGTTCTGATGAAATTGCACACTGTGTGTGAAGATCAAGAGGAGATTTGACTTACGTTATCGTGTCCAGAGGGCGCACCAAGAAGGGTTTTGACAAGTCGAGGTGGATAATGAGGTCCATTCAAATTGTTGACCGGAGCAAATGGTCTTACATCCCACTTCAACACCCAAAATCAAGGACGCTTTTCAATTTACAAGAAAAAGTTGACAGTTCATCAAGAAACAAAAACAACAGGACTCATTAAAATCAACTTACGATCCGTAAGGTATCATCAAAGCCCGAACTCAGTAAGAAACTTCCATCAGGACTTAATCTCAAACCTGAGATCGTATCCGTATGAGCTCGTAAACTCCAAGAAACTTCTTTCTTTCGTAAATCAAAACAATGTACATCATTATCGATCCCACCCATAAAGAGTTGTTGACCATCAGCTGACCACTGAAGGGCTGTGATGGGATAATTAAGTTCGATTTCATCTACTGAATCTCTTTGATCTTCAGACCAAATCCTAACTGTTCCATCATCCGAACCTGAAGCGATCAAATCCCGATGAGTAGAAGAGGAGAGAGTGATCGAATTGATAATTCCAGTATGACCACGATGTCTTCGAGTAGATAAACCGGTATGAAGATCAAACGTGGTGATCGTCCTATCCACTGAAGCAGCATAAAGTCGTTTAAGTGAAGGAAGAGATGAAAACTGAATCGACCTAATCGCTCCTTTTGGACCTTTTAATACACCATAATTTTTACATTCTTGACCATAGATTGACCAAAGATTAATCGTTCGATCAGCTGAAGCTGAAGCTAAATGATCACCACTTGAATCAAATTTAACATCTAAGACTTCTGCCTATAAAAAACAAATAGATAGATAGATTGGGTATCATATGAAGAAAAAACAACAACAGATGATTAGATTTTGAAAACGGTTTAAAAAAGATAATTGAAGAAAAATGATAAAAATGAAGATTTGACTCAACAGTATGACCACTTAAGACCATGATCGGAGCAGCAAGACCACTAGTTCTATATACTTACAAGAAACATCATTTATGATTAAAAAAAATCTCGAAAGATGAAGAATGTAAGAGGAAAAAAAAAGAAGAAGAATGAATGATGCGAATCTAAATAAAAGAATTAGATTACCTTTGAACAGATTGAATTAATTGACCTTTACCAGATCCATCACTACTGATGATTAATTCTTGATGATTTTCTTCATTTGATTTAATTCGTTTTGTAATCAGATTCTCATCTTCGGAAACTCGTTTGGCCATTCGGTTTTTTGTTTTCTTTTTGATTGTGTGGTTGTGTGGTTTTTTTTTCAATGGGTAAGTAAGTAGGATGAAATGATGATCGGTTAAAGGACGCGAGATGTGATTTGAATCTTGATAGGGTTTCGGATAGGAAATGTCATCGAATTCAGTATAGTAAAATCTTGTACGTAACCGAGGTGAAGTTGACATCCCCTCGATAGCTCAGTTGGAAGAGCGAGAGACTGTAATTGGCTGTATAGCTCCTTGACCTTGTGAAAGGTTGGCGAGTGAAAAAGATCATCTCTAGGTCACTGGTTCGATCCCGGTTCGAGGGATGTTAAGTTTTTTGTTTTGAGAACAATCGCGTGATTCGCTACTGAAAAATCTTCCGATCCATTTGAGAGAGGGGAAAGTTAGTCCAAGAGGTGAGGATGAGAAAGGGAGATGAATTGAAGTTTGAGAATGACGATTGAAGTGAATTGATAGTGAATTGGATTTCAGTTTGAACGGATCCAAACTTTGAAAGGTTGTGTTGAAATCGAATTGAGTGAATTGATGTTGAATGTTGGTTGAGTTGAGAAATAGGACTTCATTAGTAGCATATCCTACAATAGAGTGATAGTACGATACATATTTCAACCCACTCAACCATATTACAAATTCCAATTTCAATTCAAATCAAAATCAAAATCAAAACAAAAAACCAGAATAAAAACAGGGTGAATGGTTCTATTTCTCTTTGATTGATTGATTGATTAGTTAGTTGGTTTGAAGAGTACTTTAGTTATCTGAACTTGATGAACAAGAAAGAAAAGTTGAATTCAAATTGATACACAAACTAGCTCCATCCACTTATTGTACTTTCTTTCTTCAATCACTTCAACTCTCAACCTCAATTGGTGGTCTTCTCTTCAAATCAAAACATGATCATTACTGATACTCTAAAGTCTTATCATCATCATTTCATTATAAAATCTAATCATCAAACTCATCATCAGAACATGCTATCATCATCTTACCAACTGTTAAAATCAAGTTCAACTTAATACCCATTTAACATTCAATCTAACTCTCTCTTCTCTTCTCTTTACCAATCCAATTTCCATTCAACTTTTACATTTATCACATCACTCAAACTCAAAAGACAAAAACTCAGAACCCATCTCAAGAAAAATCAAAAAATTCACTTTTCAAATCTCAAAAGATGTCACATCATCATTCACAAAACCGTAAGTCACTCAATCCTAAGCATCATCTCAACCGATTGATTGATTGAATTCTAATCTTCATCTTCACTTCTTTCATTCATTCATTCATTCATCCAGCACGCAACTTTAACCCTCTCAATAAACAAACTCATTCAGCTCCATCTCGTCATCCTCAACCCTCTAGACATCTCAACCCCATCCGAAACCGATCCGTTTCTACCACTCCTTCTCACGAACTCAAATCAGGACACTCTCAAAAGCTTGATGAACCTCAAAACTCACTCGATCAGACCAAAATGGGTTTAACATTCAATCCAAATCCCAAACCTCAAAATTCACTCGATCAAACCAAAATGGGTTTAACATTTAATCTAAATTCCACTGGATTGAATCCATTACCCAAGTTACCCAAGTTCAAGCGACTTCAACACAATCAACGTCCTAATCCGATCTCCCCTACTATCACCTCCCACTCTACTCATCCCAGTCTTCAACCCCTCAACAAACATACCCCCAAATCCTCTTCACGTTCATCCGATCATTCTTCTCGACCTACTCCACTCTTTCCTCATGGAGTCAATCAAATACCTCTTGGTAAATCAAACCGATCACCTTGGAATAACGCTTCGTCATCTTCTAAAATCGAAGATGATGAGGTTCCTATCAAATCACCTCCTAAACGGAATCAAACCAATCACTTTCGTCGGAAAAAAGGATCAGAAGTTTCAACTGAACCAACCAAGACGCGAAGGACTGCTCAAAGTGGTTCGAACGGTCAAAGCTCTGGTCCGATCACTAAAAGTCAAGATGCCGGTGATGAAACTGAGGAAGACCTGGAGCTCAAAGATCAGACCGTCACTGCATCTAGACCGCCATCTGATGAGAAAGTTTCCAAGCTATCTGATCTGACAACTGATCAGGCTCAAAATCATTCGCCATCTGTATCACAAATAACACCAGTACATGATACCGATCGGGTGATCAAGACGTCTGTAGAACAAGGTTCATTTGTCAAATCAGCAAATCACACCAATTTGATTGGTACTCTCAATGGTCCAGGAGCATCAGGATCAGGTTCAGATACCGTCACAATCAACACCAAGCCATCTGATCCTCTACTCAAGTCTTTGGCGAATCCATCAGATTCGAATGGCAGCCAGCATAAGCGCAAAAACGATGACACATCTCGATCAGAACGATCAAACTCGACTCATGCCCAATCTGGCTCGAAACCCAACAAGCCCACTGAGATAGACACAGATTCTAGTCTGTCATCTTTATCTTCAGATGGTGTGGAAGAGGAAGATAGCAGTGATTCGTCATCATCCATCTCTGAAGATACCATAGAGATTGCTGCTCCACCCTTTGTGGCTGTGGTCGAGTCCCAAGCATTGGCTCAATCTGACACCATCCTCAATGATAACAAGCTGTTGGACAACCTGACTGAAACCATCCCCTCGACTTTGGAGCGACGACCTGAGACGAGTCCTAGTCGAGCACCTATAACAGATGTCGTGATGGATGATGCCTCTGAGTTAGGAGAGGATGTTTGTTTAGAATACACCGACTTTGGTGCTAATGAGCTAGGCGTCCCTGTTACTTGGTCTGAGTCGGAGTACGGTAAGCTTTAATTCCAAACATAGTCCCTTTAAAGTTTGAATATTGAAGCTGATCGGCCATCTTTGATTTCCAGATGAAGGAGAGAAAAGTGATGAGACTGATGAATTCGCCGAATTCCTTTTGATGGAAGCTAGTGATTACGATCTGACAGATATGAATCGATTTCAGTCCATCGATCATGACTTGGGTGAAAACTTTGATTTGGAAAGTCACCTTGGTAGTGATAGCGGTGGTAGTAGTCAGACTGGTTATATGATCATTGAAGAATTCGAATCATTACAAACTCATGAACCGGATGAGGAAGAGATTGAAGAGGAAGAAGAAGATGGTGAGACGACCGATTCGTTAGACGAAGATGATCATTCGGGTCTGGTGAAATTTGGAATCGAAGTAGATGATGATGAAGAGGAAGATGATGCAACGTTCTTTGATTTACCTCCGGATTCAGCTCTTGGCTCTCTGTTAACGAATTTCGAATTATCGGGCGATGTTGAATTCTTTGTGTTACCAGAAGACGAAAGTGCAAATCCATCACCTCAAGCCACAAGGCAGATCATCGAGTCTCCAAGCATCTCTACTTCTTGTCTACTTCCAGCTCCTCCTGGTTCATCTACAACGAATCCTGTACTTAGTGAAATGTTGGGAACTAAACCGGAGATCCAACTACCGGTGATGGGATCATTTTCAGTGGGTAAAAGTGCTGGGCGTACGATCATAGACGAGAAGGCTATTCCTCCGGTCTCACCCTTCACAGGTGGAAAAGTCATTAGGTATAATCGGTTTAAGAAATTACGCGATCGATCATGTGGAAATGAGAGTGAAAGATCATCATTAGGAACGCCTAAAGCGGATTCGAATCATCCAGCAGAACAATCAGCTCCAGAAGATGATTTTGATATCACTGCGTTTATCCATGGAATCTCTTCAAAGGATGATGAAGAGTTTTTTGATTTTGGTAATAAGGGAAGAACTGAAGGGATTGAAGAAGGAGTGGAGAAAAGGAAGTTAGATGATCTTTCTAGATGGAGACGAGTTCCGATGACCGCCTTTAGAATGTCAAATGAACCCGTACCACCCCCGATCATCTTAGATGGAGCGATTCAACCCTCAGCACGAGCCGGACAAAAGACGTTGAGTTTAGTTCAACAAAGCAAATTGAATGGGAAAAGCTTATTAAATTCACCTCATCATCGAAAATCGAAAAAGAAAAGAGGGCACCGAACTGAAGAGATCGTTCAACATCATCCCGAAAGGAAACGAGGTAGGATAGAAGAAGAAGAAGAATTGAGATTAGCGATCAATTCGATGTTTGATACACCACTCTTTAAGAGTATGATTGAAAGGAATGAAGGAATTGAAGGAGGAGGAGTAGATGAAGATGTACCGATGTTAAATTTGATGGATGGAATTGAAGGTTTACCGATTGAATAAATCCATTCCATTCCTGATGGCTGCTTTGCTTTGCTTTTCGTCTTTTTTTTCCTTTCTCCTTTCTTCTTCTTTCTTCTTTTCTTTTTTTTTCATTTCATTATTTTGTGAATTTTTTCAAATTTCGGGGTTTTTTTCTTTTGGTCTTGATTGATTATTTACGTTTTAGCTTATTGACTTCTTTTTCATACCTTAACATTCAATTTTCAAAACCATTACTAGAACTAACAACTAGAACGACGATTAAGAAAGAAAACAAAACACATTAAGAATTTGGTTTCAAGAAGATTTAGATTTAATAATTACCAACCAACAAAAGAAAAGTATATGATCATCATCATCATCAACCCTGCACAAAAAAAATGAAAAAGAAGAATCTCTTTGGACTTTTTTTTTCAATTCTGTTTTAAAGTTTTGTCTGTTTTGTTTTTTAGGGGGGGAGAGGGGAAGAAGAAGTTCAAAATAGAAGATTATTTAAAAATGAATGGGAAAATGAAATGAAGGATAGGTTAAGATTGAATTTGGGGGTTCTTTTTGTGGGGGTTTTTCTTTGAAAAGAAAGAAAAAAAATAAAGCATTTTTTTTATATACTTAGTTTTTCTTAAAGGGGTTTTCTTTACAAAAAGATTGATATGATTGTAATTAGAATGAAGAAGTAAAAGTAAAAGTAAAAGTAAAAGTAAAAGTAAAAGTAAAAGTAAAAGTAAAAGTAAAAGTAAAAGTAAAAGTAAAAGTAAAAGTAAAAGTAAAAGTAAAAGTAAAAGTAAAAAGTAAAAAGTAAAAAGTAAAAAGTAAAAAGTAAAAAGTAATTGAGTTTGAATTTGATTAAAGCTTTGGAGAAAAAAAAAAGATGAAATTCTATGGGAAAGCAAGTTGAATAAACCAAACATACAGAGACAAAGAGAGAGAGAAAAGAAAAAAGTGAGAGGAAAATCATCATAGTTTGAAAATTAAGTAAAATTGATAGTTAAAATGTCATTTCATTCCCCATTTTTTTGTAGTGTTACATACAAACCTTGATAGGGAAAAAAAGTTTGAGATGATTGATAAGGAATTCTAGAGTAAAAAGAAGAAAAATA